GGAAGAACGAGCCAACAGGCTCTGCCCCCCCTTTGGTTTTCAGGTCTGTTCTCTCTCGTTGTCCAACACGAACTGAATCAAAGGAGTTTACTGTGGGCAAGATGTGTGTGGGTGTGTGTGAATGTTTGTGTGCTTGAGTGTGAAGGTCAGTACCACACATTCAACATTATCTACTTAAGTGTGGATTCATTAATCCATTATAATTACCCCAAAGCATACTAGTCATTCATTTGATTAAACACATTTATAATGAGCAAAATGATAATGGTTATTTTAACATTAAAATCAAGAAAAAGAAGTTTAAACTTTATGTTTTGACTTGGTCTGGGTACAACTCATGTAAACACATCTTCTGGTAGACTGCAGGTGGTTGATGTTATGGTTTCCTCCCAGACTCGCTGGCGTTCAGGTCTTAATCTGTGGGTGAAAGTTCTCAGCGACCCAGCTTTGACACAGCTGAGTCCAACACCACCATTGTGACAGAAAACCCATATTTCCTCACGTTACATACAGAACATGGTTATGAAGCTCATTGCTCTAAATCCCTCTCACATTAAGAGATCTCTCCTTGACAGTTTTGGTACCTTCCTGAATAAGCCGTTTCCGGGCTGTCACTTTAAGAAAACATGCTGCTGCTGTGATCACACCCACCCCCTGATAGGCTGCTATAAGACAAAAAGCTACAATATCAGGGAGGGGTTTGGAGTAGAGCTGCTGTTCCTCCAGCATAAACGGGGGAGAAAGGGTTTTATGCAAACGTCCCACTTTAAGATATCACAAACATGAATTGTGCACATAATCCCTGAAAACCAAACATTGACAGGAAACAGCTGGTCAGAGTTTTTTCACTTTTGAAGTGTTAATAGAGGCAGCAGAGACCCGCACAGCAGTACAAATAGATGCAAAAGGTGAGTTTTGCATATTATGTCTCTGTTTAAGCATTGCTATAACTGACCCTGGACACACTTTTTGAGAATTCAGCCATTTATTTATTCAGTTTTTTTTTTATTCTGACCCAGATCACTTTCATATGTGGTTCTAAATCATTTCTGATGTTTATCAAAAGGAGCTCAGTATGAACAGCTGTGCTACATTTTATCTGACTTTTACACGACCGATGTATGACAGGCTGAACAAATCTGCACTGGAGGAGGCAGGAAGATCAAATGTAAACAGGCTTCCCTTCTTTGGACAGCAATCCTACCGGTTCTGATTGGAGAAGAAACTTTAGGACTGACACACACATGCTGACATGTAGCCTCCATTGTTTCTAATGAACCACAAACATTGCTGTTACATTGTTGGTATTTGGGCTGAGTTCATTCTGCTCACTTCTAAAGATGTCACAAAAAGGAGCCCAAGATGTACTTTCCTCCGATACCGGAGCACAAGCACGTCCTCTATTTCTGCTGTGTTTGATTCCTTTTGGAAATTGATCAGCTCAATAACTGTCTTTATATGAACCCCTTGAATATTAATGTGTTCATCCGGGTAATAACACGCAACGCTGAGGGGCAAAAACACCTGCTCCCGCTGTTATCCAGAGCTGCAATTTAAGCTAACAAAATATTACCTAGGGCTTCAGCAATTATTACTTTAGGTCATCTAACACATCTTTGTGCAGATGATAAAAAAAAAAAAAATAAACATCTCAAAGCAGATCAGTCTGACATAGGTAATGAGCTGTGGAGGCTGATCGACCTCAGAACTGTCCGCCTGGACTTTACGCATGCAGCTAAATCAACAAAGGTGTGAGCAGATCTCTTCTGCTTTGTGTGGGTTAGTGTTGAAGGATCACCATGAAACAGTTTGTCTTTGGGGACTAACATGTGCTCCATTTGTTTATATGAGCACTGGAAACAGAAACATGAAGCGAACGACATTAAAGGCTGCCCGCTCCAATCACAGAACGCACTTTGTGTAATTATATAAAAAGAAATTAATTTAACCAGGTCACAAAGGCATACAAGTCATTAGACTTGTTCGTGTCTGAACATGTGGGGCAGATACTTAACTTTCTTAATCCGTTATGAGACTGGCTGCTATGATGTGAACGGGTCATCCACTAGAACTCTCTTTGTTGCTGTTAACCATTGCCTGGTGTATTTTATCAGCTGGAAACCTGTCAAATGTTACATCGCTTTCCTTCTTTAGTCCATTTGTGCAGCCTACAGTGCTGCATGCGTTAACCATGCTGATAGATTTTATTTCACCGTGATTTAGCTCAGTTTGTTGACAACTGACAGATAAAAACAACAATGGTCAGAGGGGGAGGGTCATCTCCTGGCTGTCAGAAGCTGGGAGGCGGGGCTTGGGTGCACATCCTGATGTAAAAACAAACTTCCAACACAGCAGAAAGATTCAAGAGCTTTAAGTTTGGCATTTATGACATCGGTAAATGAAGTGCCAGTGCCTTCACAAAGCGATGACTGCACTGATATCAACTTTACTATAAAGTGCTAAATCTTCTGACTGACAGCAGTAGACTCTATTAATGAGAGTTTACAGCCTGCACTGAAAAGCCCTTTAACAGCTCAGATACTCGGCTGTTGTTCATTAATCATGTTTGACAGGCAGATCAGCTATTTCCTCACTGATATTTCCAGAGTGTTCATCAGCAGCCAGCATCTGCAGGCAAACGTGGCCATGCCAGATGCTGAGATTATTCTCCCATCAGCATCTTGTCGGCTTCCCTGTGGCAGTCACTCTGCTGAAAGTTCACTTCATATGAAGTCATTAAGACAGCATAACCAGGGGTGGGGGTGGGGGGGTTGACTGCTTGGACTAATTACAGATTAATGTGCGTATACAGTACATGTCACACATTTACAGCTGTTTAATTTTCCATTATAGATCACATGAAATCACTGGTATGGCTTTGAGAAGGTGAGATAGCAGGATGATGTCAGGAACACACCAAACAAAATCTAATTTGTGTAGATTCATGGAGTGCATGGAGGGATAAAGAGTTTTTAGGTGTTTAACACATAAGTGTCCAGGATATTTTACTTTTTTACTTTATTTTTTCTTGTTTTGCTTTCAGAAGTTGATTTAGCAGAAGCTCAGATTTTCAGAGTCAGTCCCAAACGTGTCCACCAGATGGCAGACGAAAGCTGTGACTCAGCTTCAACACCAACCTGGTGGTTGGTTTGTTGGTTGATTGCCAGTCCAACTTCCTGTCCAGATACCAGCAGATAAACAGAAGAGGTGATGGGCTGTCGTGCTGCTCTGATCGCTGCTGGCAGATTCCGTTCAGGAGTTTTCACTGATCCAAACATTCATTTTAATCAGATTTCTGTTTGCTGGCGTTCAGTTTAATCACATCAGCTCCATTTGTGTGTTTTTATCTGTCAGATCTGACATTGTCTGACTGCAGCACTGCTGTTGGTGTTCAATAGGAATTTAGTTTATGTTTAACATTGAAAAACAATAAAGCCTTAAACTGAGGGTAGTGATTAGAGACAGATTTCATTTGAATTGAGACAAAGCATTGCTCCTGCACATATTGATGTGCTGCACAAAGAGTTTTAGAGCTGTTGTTCTGTTGGGGTTTTCATTTAATCAGCACAATAATATTATTAGACAAGCTAAAATGACTGTATAGTATATTTAAGACATAACACATTCAGCAAAGTGAAGCTGAAATACCCCCAATTGAGATAAATATTAGTTGTTGTTTTTGACTGAAGTGACATTTTAAGACATAATAATAATAATAATAATAATAATATCATGGCTAGCAACCAATTTTATTAATTTTGGAAAAAATACAAATATTTCTCAATGCACAGTTAATTCATCACAATAAGCTGCAGTGTATTCAGTGTTATGGTATTTATTTATTGCAACCCAACAGGGGCAGGTCACCATAACACAAACAAAAACACACCTACATACCCGAGAGTGGGTGGCCTGAGTGGAGCGGACGAACCTGTTGCAGTAAAGAGACAGGACTGACCCGGACTGACTGATGAAGACGTAAGTTGGTTCACTCTTTAAACTTCCACTCTAAGAAAAAGCTATGAAACTGTCCTTTAGCATATTTATTCCTCTGAAGCACGAGGGCTGTATGAACTGAAAGGCAACATCAAAAACGAGATTGTTAAAGGAATAAACGGGTTTACTTTGCATTCACACATACTGTATTATGGTTTATGTGGCAGGGTGGGGAAGCAAGGGCCCGGGTGAGAGTCGATCTCCAGACTCCCGGGTGAGAGCCATGCGCGCTTACCAGTCAGCCAAAGGGAAATCCCCTCGACCAAGCAGCCAGGGCACACTATCAATCATTTTTTACCATCCAAAAACAATATTACGCTATCTTAAATTGACACTAGTTGAGCTCTAGGACCAAGCGTAAAACAATGATAAATGACCTGCACTTGTATAGCGCTACTCAGAGTAGGGACTCCAAAGTGCTTTACACTACAGTGTATCATTCATCCATTCACACACACATTCACACACTGATGGTGATGAGCTACGATGTAGCCACAGCTGCCCTGGGGCGCACTGACAGAGGTGAGACTGCCGAGCACAGGCGCCCCCGTCCCTCCGACCACCACCAGCAGGCAAGGGGGGTTAAGTGTCTTGCCCAAGGACACAACAGCAGAATTCTCTGTCCTTCCGATTACTGGACAACCCGCTCAACCTGCTGAGCTACTGCTGCCCCGTTTCCCATTAGAACATACTGTAAAGATCCCCCCACCCCCACCCCCCGTGTCCCCCCCACTTCTAAAGTGAAACTTACGTCCATGACCTTGATTATCCACATTTATGAATCTGGTTGACCACACATTTTCTTTTTTCCACCCATCCATTGTTACAATTTGTATTTAGCAAATCTGACATTAATTTCTGCTCTGAGATCGTCTGACGCCCACAGCAGTGTCCCACTGGAACACGCTTCTACTGATTCCAGATCAGCAGGACCGTAACGGGCTCTCTGGCGTGTCTCATCGTGTTTGGGCTCTGTACACCCCCCCACCCCCACCCCCCGCGCGCGCTCTCATCCTCTCGCGCGTCTCTCCGGTTGATGCGGTGACTGAGACGGAGTCAGACTCACGGGAGGAAGAGGAGAGGAACCACGGAACCGGCTGCGCTCTCAGACCGACTCCGTTCCCGTCTCATCCACCACCGGAACCGGTAGGTTTGACTCCTCTGGTTTGACTGACAAAAAGCGTTTAGCTCAGCGATTCTAACATAAATCAGCAAATTCCTTCAGAGCGGAACGGTTTCATCATTTCATCCTCTGAGTCCGGGACGGCTCGGCTCAGCAGACCTTCTCAGGACAGCTCCACCCGGGTCCAAACGGACGGAAAGTTGCATAGCACCCATGAGCTGGAGGATTTACTTTGTAACTTTTGTTGAACTTTCGTGAACATGCCGCGGAACAAAAATCGAATTCAATGTTCCGCTGCCGCAGATGTACAAACGTTTCAAAATTCAACCAGAATGATGTTTTTTGTTGTGAAACTATTTTTTTAAAAACCGGAAGACACTTATTTTTAACTCTTCGAAGCATTTTCTTTTATTTGCCTAGAAAAACAGAATAAAAATAACAGTTGATATTTTCAATCATAAAAATACTCTTTAAAGAAAAATGTGTGGAGTATAAATCACATTAAAATGATGATGAAAAAAAGAAAAGAAACAAACAAGGACCGACTCATAGTTCACATCCACCTGTGAACTGTCTAACGATTTACCTGAGTGGAGGAGTCGGCTAATTTACACAATTAGCTGTTGTGATTTTATTCTGTTCATCTTTATCTAATCCCTCCTGATTTGATGTGAACAATGAATAGTCATTTAAATAATAAATATATCTATTTAAGCTGACATTATATGTGCAATTAGCTAGGATATATTAAAGAAAAGATTAGAGAAGCATCACTTGCATTGTTTTATACCTCTATGTGTGTGTCTGTGTGATGAATACAACCAGCTGAGCAGATCCCACCCCAGCCACACTGCTGTAACAATAAATAAATAAATAAATACATACATACATACATACATACATACATAATGTAATAGTTCAAACTCACCCATGTCTGCCATTAAACAATTAGTAATGGTCAAGTGGAACAAAATGTAATTTAGAAAAAACAGTCAAGGTAACAAACAGATTAATAATTAAACTGCTGAGGCACTTTTCCCCCTCTTGTTTCATCAATTTAACAGTTTAAAGTTTTATAACTGAAAATGTTTGTTGGCCAGTAGTGAGCCATAAATGGCCCTGGCATTTAGATGTGGCTGATTTGTTGTGATTATGAACCGGACTGTGTTGTTTTATCAGATGACCAGCAACCATCTGAAGAAATTAGTGTTACCTAAATACCAGCCTGACCAGTAAGCTGCTTTTGACAGCTAACCCTAACTTATGACAGAGTCAGAAAAGGTCTGATTATAACAGAGATGCTGAATCCGACCTGCAGTCTGGCGTTCTATAAACCACTCAGAAGGCACCGATATGAGCTTTTTTAAATGATCATTTTGGAAGATGTAACAAAAGCTGCTTGCTGTTGTGTTTCATTCTGTGAAGCGTGATTAATGTTTTAATAGGGTGATCATTCAAATTTGTTTTTCAGTTTTGACTCCAAATTAATCACAAATACAAAATTATTGGCCCAATAAATATTTTGCCACATTTTGCTCTGCAGCAGTTTCTTGTTTAGCCACTCGCAGTTCAGATCCCAAACCCACAAGCATCTGCTTTTGGTCTTTTAAAAAGTCAGCACAAGATGACAGAATGAGGGCAAAACACACATGTCAAAAAATCTGCCTCCATTGTTTTTAAAATGACAGTGATTATTTTCCATGGTGAGAGGTGGCAGTACATACCTAAATGGTTGCAAGCCAGTAGTATTTTTTTGTTTGAGTTAGACCTTACCAACGGATGGCCATTAGGGTCAAAAAGTTCTGGGAACACAGCCTCCAGCAAAATGACAAGTAAATCAGACTCACTTTCATCACTGGCAATGAGTGAAGGGGTACATGTAAAACAACGATGTTTATGAAAGGTTAAAGTTTTGTAACCATTTGTTACAAATCAGTAAATGTGTTTTGTCCTCATGGGCTCCCGTAGAAGGAAACACGACATCTAATATAGTGTCGCCCAGAGACTTTGACCTGCTCCCACGTATTTTTATGATTATATGTTGCAAAGCCGCCAATATGTTTCAACAACTGGGTATGATTACCGTAATTTCCGGACTATAGAGCGCACCTCAATATAAGCTGCACCAACAAAAAAAAAAAAAGGTTTTCTACACACACGCCGCACTCAAATACAAGCCGCGGCGCAGCAGCCACATGCAGGTCTCCGGTGCACAGCGCATGTATGGCCATAACATAAGATAATTAGACAGAATGACGCTACACGGAGGTTTTTCGTTGTTGTTTTAATTCAACAAAACAAATTCACGGGTGAACGTGCCTGCAAGTTTAGAAAAGAAAACAGCTCTGATAGCATTCACATTTCCGGATGGTTATAAAATAAAAACAGAACTGACACGTTATTACCGGTAATTTGCCTGCATGTTTAGAAGAAAAGAACAGCGCTGACACAGCATTAATAAGCCCTGGATGATTAGAAAATAAAAACTACCCACAAAACATGCCTGGTTAGTAAATAAAACACACTTGCCTACCAGACGAAGTCATTCGCTCTCTCTTGCGCACTGAAGCCATTAAAGTCATCTTCTTCAGTGTCCGAGTTGAACAGCCTCAGAAGAGCTTCGTCACCTACCTTTTCTGTGGTGATGTCAGTGTCGCTGTCCCTGTTGCTGTCGTCACCCCCGGGTGAAGCTGGCTTGAATGAGTTCTTCCCGCTGCCGTATCCAGAGCCGAACCTTGGATTCATTCATGCCAAGCTTACGTGTGGCAGCACTGTTTCCCTCCTTCACTGCCAGATCGATGGCCTTCAACTTAAATGCGGCATCATATGAACTCATATGTGTAGTTTCCATGATGAGGGGTATGGATTTGAAAACAAAATTCTTCGTCGTGCCGGCTGCTTGCATGTGCTAAATAAAAATGAGCACTTTCTTCGATTTCCACTTTTGACTTGCGCCTGTTTTACTTTCTGCTAAAGCGCCCCCTGGCAGGTGAAGGAAAATCTTCAGTAAAGCCGCACCTCATTATAAGCCGCACGGTTCAAAGCGTGGGAAAAAAGTAGCGGCTTATAGTCCGGAAAATATGGTATATTCTTTTTCAACAACATTTTTCATGGATATCTCCAGAGATTAACAGTATGACTTCACACTGTAACTTTAAAGTTGTACCCCAAAACATACTGGGTCATTTTTTCTGTGCAATTCTTCTTGCATACAGTGTTTCTGACTAAATATTTTCATTCCTTCTGACTCCCTGTTTGGTCCTCCAGGCTCCCGTAGCAGCTATTCTCTGCTCTTATAGCAGCGCTTGTCTCTAGGTTTTACTGATGTTTCTGATGGCTCAGCTAGAAAACAATGTTTTTCTTAAAACTAATAAATGGAATTTTTTTTATTATACCACTTTTTTTAGGAATTTATCTAATGATTTTAATGTTGACCAAACTAATCGTGATGGTTTGTTCATACATGAGCTGTCTGAAACTGATCACTAACAGAACTCACAATTTAAGAAAAAAAAAAAATCCAAGTAACAGCAGGGATGTCCAAACTTTTTTAATACGAGAGTTAAAATAACCAAGTCTAAAAAAAATTCAAGCATCACAAAAATGAAACTATTTTTAAAAGGGGACATTATTTTACTATAAAATTTTACCTGCTTAACAATATATGCTCAAAAGGCACCATAAAGAAAAAAGCGGATTGTTATTTGGTTGTAGAGAAAAATCTGTAATATTTGTAGACATAAACTTGTCTCATATGAGAGCAGAAACATATATGATTCCCTGGATTTTATGGTTGGATTATTTTCTAGTTTCTTGGTCTTTAAAATAAATTAGAACCCATTTTAACAAAAAGAACAACATCAGTCTCATTCTTCAGTCATGTTTTCTGTTTAGAGCTCAGGAGGTAGAGCAGGTTGTCTAGTAATCAGAAGGTTGCTGGTTCGATCCCGGGTTTGAACAGATAGTGCGGCTGTTGTGTCCTTGGGCAAGACACTGAACCTGCTTTGCCTGCTGGTGGTGATCGGAGGGACCGGTGGCGCCTGTGTTCGGCAGGCCTCGCCTCTGTCACTGTGCCCCAGGGCAGCTGTGGCTACACTGTAGCTCACCCCCACCAGCATGTGAATGTGTGAATGACTGATTGTGTTGTGAAGCGCCTTGGGGGGTTGTAGGAGCCTAAGAAGGCGCCATACAAATACAGACCGTTTACGATAGATGGTGTCCTGTTCTGTCCAATGGTGTTTAAAGGTTTCTGGCTTGTCCATGCTACATGTGGTACTGCTGCCAGTATTTGTTTCTATCTGGGATTCCCCAGCTTGTGATGCTGGTGATGGGAGGGAACCCACAGCCCCGAAAGAAGAATTAGACTTCTTGGACTATATTTTATTCTATTAACATAAACTGTTTTTATAATTTAGAGAGACAGGATTGTAAATATAAAAAAAAAGTTTTTTTTTAGTTATTTATTTTGAAAGAAAATTAACTATTTAATTTTTAATTTTCACCTTATTAAATGTTTGAAATATCCACGAGGTCCTGATGATCAAAAACATATAGGGGAGAAGAGGATATGAGGATCATAAGTGGAAAGTGTCGGTCCTGCATCACAGTGAGAAATATTAATTATAAATATGGTGGTAAATTACAGTGCTGTGGGACGTCAGTGTTAAATACCAACTCACTGACTGTAAAAACATAGCAACTTTAAGCATAATTCAGAATTTATGGTTCTATTTAAAGACACAATGTGCATTTTTACTGTTAATCTCTGGAAATATCCATCTAAATGTTGTTGACAACGAATAAAATGATTGTTGTTGAAGAATATTGGCAGCTTCGTAACATATAACCATGAAAGCGGGTCTGAAGTACACAGGGCTTGGGTCTAACGTCTTTGGGAAACGCCATAGTAGACGTCATGTTTCCTTCTGTTTGGCTTGGGGTCCTGTGCCTGTTGATGACTTCACTCTAGATGATTGGCTGGACGTACGACTTATAAAAGTTACGTTACCATGTTCAAAAACAT